AGGCATTTTGGACAAGTTTTCCCCAAACTGGGCGACTGACCAATTAGTCACTAAGTACTGCAGTGACCTCTAAGCCAAACAATAGACTCCAAACAGATCCACCTGCCATACTGGGGCAGCTACATGGGGAAGCCAGGAGGTGGGGCAGGTCAGTACAAGTTAGGCACTCAAAAGAAAAAAATCAGAGAGTACACTAGATGAAGGATCTGGAAGACAATCTGAACTACTTGCTCCATTGCAAATCTGATTTGGGCCCCAGATCTCAGCAACAGAGGTATCAACTCATAACCCTGGCTTTCCTTGAGCAAAGACAACCAGAGACATGACCCCACTATCTTTGTCGGGAGCTATGCTCCAGAAACGACCCACCCAGATCAATGAGCCTACAGGAGGAGAACAAACCAGCGGACCTGCACATTCCAAACAATGTATCCCTGAATTCTTCTGGTTCCTTGACACTTTCTGTCCTGTTGTATTATCCTCCTTGAGAATTCTGTTCTCAAGCTGTCGGCAACCTTGCAACCCAGGGCTCCGCAATTCTCAGGCACCAAGACACACAGCATATGAGGAGTAGAGGTTAGCTTATTGCTGTGCTGACAAGTGGAGTTACCCCAGATTTATTTATACAGTGCAACACTTTGGTTATAGCTTTTTTTAAAAACAGCATTTAGGATTATGTTTGGTGGTAGCAATAACGAGAAAGGATGGCCATTAAATTATAAAAATCTGAAGGATGAAAAATAAGCGTGGCTCCTAAAGCCAAAGAAAATTTGTCAAAGCCTGCTGTGACTCCTCTACATTTTATTGTATGGCTCAAGCCCTCTGGTCGAAGGAGCTTGTTGTTAATGAAAAAAGTGACTCCTCTAGCGCATGTCTTCAAGGCCCTCCAGCCTACTGCAGGAAGAAATTCTCAACGGTTTACAGGATTACGTATGAGTTAAACTCCCCAGAAGGAATATACCTTCTGCTTCTGAGACAGGCACTATACAGAAGCACAGAGGTGGCCTGGGCAGAGCAAGGCTGGCAGGAGGTTGGAGAGCCAGTACTTCCCAGGCCAAGTACTCCACAAATGGCAGGCGTGCAAACTAATAAGCCACTGGCATGCTCCTCAGCCAAAGGAGCCAGCCAAACTGTCTTATACGAAAGCTAAGAACACGGACAGGAAGAGAGAAAGACATGAAAGGTCCTGCAGAGAGGCCAGCACCCAACAAGTGGGCAATGACTTGCAGGGATAATTTTACCCAGCTGGCCTTCCTCCAGGCTAGGGTGAGAGATCTCAGAGCCAAGGACTTCCACAGCCCCAGCACCTCCCACTTCACCCTGTGAGAGGCTGCAGGCAAGCACTCACGCTTCCAAATATTAATTGCTCCAGAATGATTACCTCCCCTCTGCTTCGGCACTCACGACCACCCACAAAACAGAACCCCAAGCATGCATTAAAGAGACATGTTGTGACAACTGCTGCTGTACATAGTAGGTGGGTAAAGGTCTCACGGGGCAGCTGATCTACACTGAATAAGCTTCGGCATGTGGCTTTATATCCTTATTCCCTGGCTCCACAAACTGACCTCCCTGGGAAACTTCTGACCTTTGCAAGGGAGGCTTGCTCAGGGTTGGTATGAAAAGTATAGCTTCCCTTTTAAGCAGATTATTTTCTTCTCTTTGTCCTCTCTTAAAAAATATTCATAATGCAGTGCAACATTTTCTACTTCTGTGAAACAGAAAATGAGTCTGAGGCAACCCACTGAGTCTGTGGTAGAGCAGGAATTTGTGGCCAGATCCAAAACCTTCTACAGTGGTTCACACTGCTTGGCTAAGGGCAAAGGAAGCTAATGCAGCAGTCCTCAGCATAAGGGAGGGTGACTGAAGAGCATGGAAAAGCCAACCATTATGGAGATCACCTCCTTTCACCACCATTAGAATGTTTTCCTAGATGTAAAGTTCCTACGGTTTGGAATGTGGTCCCCACCCATTGCCATCCTGTGCACTTTGCCCCAGCAGCAATTACATTGATATGAGCCAGGAAAAAGTCCCAGAAGACCAGGTGCTTCCTACTTCCCCCCACTGAAAGTCTGTTTATCTCCAAGGAGCCTTCCCTTCCCTGGATCACAGCCAGCAACAACACTGAACTCAGTAAACAGCCTCTTGCAAAAGCTGGAGGCTACTGGGGGTTTGTCATCAGTCATAGAAGCTGGTCACAACAGTCCTGGGGAGATTTAGGGGTCAAGGTAAATATACCTTTTAGGGTACCCACAGCTGTGCCACTCCACCTAAGTATGAGAGGACTGCTTGTGTTCATTTGTATTTGGCAGTTGCACGCTGGAGACAGGAAAAGCTTAAGGTAAAGGTAAAGGTTCCCTTGCTCGAAAACCAGTCGAGTCTGACTCTAGGGTTGTGGTGCTCGTCTCCGTTTCCAAGCCGAAGAACCAGCGCTGTCCGAAGACGTTTCCGTGGTCATGTGGCCGGCATGACTAAACACCAAGGCACACGGAACGCTGTTACCTTCCCACCAAAGTGGTACCTATTTATCTACTTGCAATTTCTTGCTTTTGAACTGCTAGGTTGGCAGGAGCTGGAACTAGAGACGGGAGCTCACTCCGTCTTGCGGCACCCGGGTCTCGAACTGCTGAACTACTGACCTTCCACAGCCTGCAGTTCAGCGTCTTAACCACTTGAGCCACCGCAGCAGGAAAAGCTTAACCGATACCTAAAGCTGATTGTGCTACTTCCCATTCCTAGAGAGCACCATCAAATCAGGCATGCCGATGCCTAGGAGCTCTCCAGTCTGCATCAGCAGCTTCACACCAACACAAACCCAGTATCTGGTCCCCACCAGAGTTTCCCTTCAGGGTAAATAAACAGGGGGAAGGAATGTCTGCCCTCCTCCCCTCTGTGCCATCACCCTACAATGGGGACACATACTCCTCAATTGCTATTTTGGCTGCAGCAACTCAAGGGATGACTCAGGGGCACACCCTGTCCTGCTGTAACCCGGCAGGATGGCTGTGGGTGTAAAAAGGGCAATTAAAGGGCAGCTGGAGGCCAATAGAAGGAGCAAAAGGCAGATGAAGCAATGGGGGGGAGGGGAGATGACTCCAGGGCCAGGTATGCAGCTAAGCAGAAGGCAGGCAAACTGAGATGCAACAACAGAAGGGGGTGGGGAGAAGAGACTGTCAGCGGCAACTCCTCTCTGGAGCCTTAAGCAACCTCACCCTGACCCCTTGTGGCTGGCTGTGCGAGAAGCAAAAACAGAGAAGGCCTAGAAGCCAGTTAATGGTGGCTGTTTGTTGACCCTCCAAGGCAACACTGTGAAACAGGATGCTGGACCGGATGGGCCCCCTGGTCTGATCCAGCAGGGCCCTTCTTATATACGACTAGGCTGCATAGTCACACAGTTAAAGAAGCCAGCGAGACTTGGGGAAAGTTAAGTTTGGACAGCTCTGTTTCGCTCCCAGCCACTCAGTCCTAGCCTACCTGACAAGGCTGTTGAGAGGGTAGGGGGGGGGGGGGCGACGACAAGGATTATGTACACCACCTCGAGAGAGAGAAAAGATAAGGGTGAACGGCGTCTCTCTCTGGAAGTGATAAAAATGTGACGGACGTGAAGAAATATGGAGTCTCTGGCTGAATTCAAGCGGGGATAAAGAACATTCAGGAATGGCAAGCAAGCAAGTAGAGTGCTCCCTTCGAATTGTAAGCGGCTTTAATGAGACGGGGCAGCCTTCCCGGGCAGCCCTGCCCTGATAACATCCAGCCCCCTGGAGCTCAGTGTCCCCCCGCAACCGGACACTTGGGCCAGCCTTGCTCCCTTGGGAGGCAGGCGAGCGTTCGGCAGGTGAAGCTGCCCCCACTCTACAGAGGACCCGCCACGCCTCCCTCACCCAGACATCGAGGTGGATGCGGCTGAGGCGGCCCGCACCGGCGTAGAGGTCGAGGCTGAGCTGCTCGAGGCCGAGTCGCTCCTCCAGAAAGTGGCCCAGGTAGTGCTGTAGCAGGTAACGGCAGGCGCGCTTCTTGATCGAGCTCGACCAGGGGAAGAACCAGCGCGACATGGCTGTCTAGCTGGCTGCCGGAGCCGGCCCGTGCAGCACCTCGCGCGGCCGACACGATCACTTGACTCCCCGGCTCAGACCCCAGCTTCCTTCCTCCCAGGCCCAGCCCGACCCCCTCCCAACTGGAGCAGAGAGCCCCGCAATCATTGGCCGCGCCGTCGGCCCCGCCCACTTGTGTCAGCCTGGTTGGCTTGACGAGCTGAGGGAGGGAAGTGGGAGGAGCTAGTGGAAAAGGTTGCACTTCAGGGACTGAAATAAAGTCCTCTCGGCGGCGCGAGAGCCCGTGAAATAAGTCGCCTAGCTCAACAGAGCGCATGCGCCTGTCCTCGGACTCCCAGGGACGAAGTAAATAAAGCCTATGAGCGTGCGCGGCTGGTCATGCGCAGATATTACGGGGGGTGAGGCGCATGCGGCAAAAGAGTGGCCTCTCGTGTGCGCGCACAGGGCGCCTGCGTGCAAAGAGAAGTCGCTGGGGAGGACGAGCATAGAGTTGAAATGGCTCATAACCCAGTTTCCGGTTTTGTTTTTGAAAGGGGGGGTAGCGCTGTGTGTGGAGTGAAACTACAGTAGGCGGACAACATTGAGTTCAGGCATGGTTTATATTTTATTTACTGATAGCTTTATATTTTTAAGTATTTTTATTAATTTTCAGTTTTATAACATAACAAAATACATAATGAACATTTGGGTTAACCATATCAAAATAATTAAACATATATATTAATGTCTCAGGGATGCAGAAGAAGGGTATATTTTCAATATATCTTAAGTACTATAGTCTATTAACAATCATAAAATATCGTTCCCTTATGATGTCTTACATAAACGTGATTATTTCTTGATATTTAGTCTATATATAGTTTAAGGTTTGAGGTGATTGTCCCATCACATACTCCCTGAAAGGAAGCCATTTGATTAATGAACTGCTATGTGTAATGTTATCTTCAGCGAAACACCAAGCCTCCGGAAGAAGGTCGCCAGGTAACCGGAAGATGCCAGAGACAACAACAACATTCGGAGCCCGCCGGGAGAAGAGAGAATGCACTGCCAACAGGGTGCTGATAGGGAGTCCCTCCCCTTGTGAAATGTGGCCCTAGGTAGGTTTAATCACTACTATATAGTAGTAAGTCTGTAAACCGCTCTGAGACCCATTAGGGGTTATGGGCGGTATATAAGTCTCATGTAAATAAATAAATAAATAAAACCTAATGGAGTCAGCAATTTTATCCATTGCTATTAGCTCCCAGACCTTGGTGAACCACCGCAAAATAGAGATTGGAGACGGGTCTTTCCAGCTAGTCGCTATTATAATTTTAGCAGCCAATAAAAGCATTGAAATAAGTTCTCTACGTATCTGTGGTATCTTATTATCTCTCCAAAGATCTAATAACAATACTTTAGGCGTGTTGTCTATGTCAATCAGTTATACATTTCACATAATGAAGTACATTAGACCAAAAATCCGATACTTTTTTACACTCCCACCAACAATGCAATCTCTTTCAGTTAGTTTAGTGGTACAATCAGATTGCCAACTTTTCTGATAACTTAACGTCTGAAGGGAGTGTGAATCAAGCAATATTTTATGTAAAATAGATATTGTATGTCTAATAGATGTTTGATTCTGTTTCATTAGTCTTTCAAATACAGTAATAGGCTGCACTGATTTATTGCCCAGGTTCCAAGATTTAAATAAAGATACTAATTGTGAATATTCAAACCATGGGAGCTGGCATGTAAATTTCTGTTCTAGGGATTCTTTTCGGGCTAGCTCATTTCCTTGAAGAATATCTATAAATCTTGTAATTTTGTGGAATCTCTATTCCCTGAAAGAATCAGGATTTCTAGCGGGAATAAACCAGGACTGGTGTATAAAAGAAGTCATCGGTGAAGGTGAGGGTGTCAGTAGACCTTTACTGTCCCATATTTTGAACATATTAGTTAAAAAAGGATTGGAACCTATTTCTCTAGGCCTAATATTCGGTTTTTCCCAATACCAGTGATTGGAATGGGATGTTTGCGAGATATTGGTTTTCAACTATCTTCCAATCAGTATCCAAAGCAGGATTATAAAATTTTTAAAGGCCCAATAAAGATACTGCCTCATGGTACAGCATAAGATCTGGAAGAGCTAGACCCCCTTTAATAATAGGCCTTTTTAGCGTATTGACACTAATCCTGGGCCTAGAGGAATTCCAAATAAACTTAGTAATAGCCCTCTGTCAACCTTTAAAGTATTCTTTTGGTAGTGCCATTGGTATTGAGCGGATGAGATATAAAAAATTAGGAAATATAAAGGTTTTAATTATTTGGATCCTCTCTATCCATGAAGAAAATGATGCAGCTTTAGTTAGATGAGGATCTTGAAAGAGATCTTTTAATGGTAGGAAGTTCACCTTAAGAATGTCTGCTATTTTAATTGGAATCTTAATGCCAAGGTAAATCCATGTTTTATTAATCCAGCAAAAACCATAGTTTGATGCAATGTATTTCTTGTGTGCCTGGGAGAGTTGTATAGGGTAGAGATAGGTTTTAGATGGGTTTGCTTTAAGACCTGAAAGATCTCCAAAAGTTGAAAATAATTTCTGTAAACGAGGTAGTGTGCTTTCAGGGTTTGATAGTGTTAAAATTAGGTCGTCTGCAAATATTCTTAGGCCCAATTTGTATTCCATGAATTTGAGGGTCATTTCTAATGGCTTGTGCGAAGGGCTCCATGGCCAGAGCAAATAGAAAGGGTGACATAGGGCATCCCTGTCTTGTCCCCCTGGCCAATTGGAATACCTCTGTGTCCACATTATTAATTTGTATGTACGCTGCAGGTGATGAATACATTGCCCTAATAGCCGTTTGAAACACGGGGCCAAAATTGATGTGATTCAATAAATTTTCCAAATATGCTGGTTCCACCGAGTCAAACGCTTTTTCCATGTCAACAGACAGGGCAATAGACGCATTAACTTGATTCTTATGGCAGAACTGAATAATATCTATAACTTTTCTGGTATTGTCTGTGATGTCTCTTCCAGGAATAAACCCTGTTTGATCTGAATAGTAAGTCTATTAGCTAGGGTGGCTGTGAAAATCTTATAGTCGACGTTCGATAGGGAAATCGAGCGATATGAACTTGCATTATGTGGGTCTCTATCTTTTTTTAGAATGACAATAATTTTGGCCAAATTCCAGGTAGGAGGCAATGTTCCAGATTTCAAAATGTTGTTACACGTGTCAGTCAGCTGAGCTATAAAAAGGGGGTGGTATTTTTTATAGAATTCGGCAGTAAAGCCGCCTGTCCCTGGGGTCTTGGTATTTTTGAGGGATCGAATGGTGTTTGAGATCTCTTCTGTAGTGAAAGGTTCTTCAAGCCAGTTTTTTTTTAGCCTCTGAGAGTACTCTTTGTGAGGAATATCGTAGGAGAAAGTCTTTAATATTTGCTGTCTCTGGATTAGTAGAGGAATATAAGGCTTGGTAATATTTATGAAACGTCTCTTTGATAGCCTTAGTGGTGTGATGCAATAGTCCCTGTCTGTCCCTAATTGCTAAGATAGTGTTTGTTGTTCTTTTCTGCCTTACTTTCCAAGCTAGCAGTTGGAGGGACCGTGGTCCAGTAAGCCAGTACTTCTGTTTGGTATATAACATTTGTTTTTGGATTGCCGTGGTCTCAAGAGCTGCCAATTTTTTCCTTTCCAGAAGTAATTTTCGGTATGTTCCCCCCCCCCCATGTTGTTTGAATTTTGTTTCTAATTCCCCTATCTGGGCTAAAATTTCTGATTTTAATCTTGTCTTTTCTCTCTTATAGGTTATTGTCTGCCCTATAATTGTGCCTCGTAAGACGGCTTTAAAGGCATCCCATATGAGATGTTGGGAAGTTTCACCTGAAGAATTTAATTCAAAATAGTCTTTGATTTGTTTTTCAATTTTTTCAGAAATGGAGGGAACTAATAAAAGAGAGCTGTCTAACTTCCAAGTGGGACTGCATGTGTTTTTTTCTTGGGATTGTATAGAGTACATAACCGGAGAGTGGTCGGACCAGAGGCAAATACCTACGTCAGCCGTAGTCATATGTGTAGAAACCAGAATATAATCAATGCGCGTATGAACTTGAAATTGGGCGAATTAATAGGTATAATCTCTTTCATCCCGGTGCCTTAATCTCCATATATCACTAAATTGGAATTTACTTAACAATGTTGATAACTGAGTATCAAAATCTGTAATCTTCTTGCCTGTCATATTGGCTCTATATTTGGGTCTCGATCTATCTAGAAAGGAGTTGGCAATGTAGTTGCGGTCTCCCCCAATCACACAAGGGTTATCACTGAATTTATTCAATTTAGTTAAAACCTCCTTCAGAAAGTGTAGCTGCCCCATATTAGGGGCATAAATAGAGGCTAAGGTTATTTTTCCCCCATTCAGGGTCCCTGCTACAAATAAAATCCGTCCTTGAGGATCCTTCCTAATTTTATCTCCTTGAAATCTAACATTCCTACTGAGTATAATAGCTACCCCTCTAAATTTTGAAGTACCCGCAGCTAAATATTGTTGTGGGTATTTAGTGGTGTTAAAGATTGATTTGCACTGTCTATTTAAATGAGTCTCTTGCAGAAATATTACTTCTGGTTTCTGTCTTATCAAGGCATTAAGAATTCTTTTCCTTCTAATACAATTATTCAAACCTCTACAATTAAGAGAGGTAAACTCAATTGTAGGTGTACTCACGAGGACATCATTAAAAGAACATATTTTATAGACAGTAGTACAGAAAATCTGAAAATGTGAAAGATATTCTTAGATATAAAAATAGTCATGACTGCGTTCTAACACTCAGCCAATTTATCAAAAAAAGACAGGTATATGTTTAACAAACTTATGGGTATCTTGTCTGTGCACCCTTTACCTAACTTTTGCATAAATGTTACCTTGTCCATCTCGGCCACTCCCGAAATCTGAGAAGAGTAGCAGAGTTGTCTTTCCCAAAAAGCCTGCTTACCCTGGGACATATTACAGAAGAGAAAAGGTTAACCACGAACAACAAAAAACTTTTAAACCAAAACAGAACCGCTTTAAGGGTTCTGTTTCCCCTTACTTTTAGGGTTTCCATAATAAGTTTTCAGTGAATAAACAACATATAAATCTTATGTAAATCTTTTAACTATTTTAACTTTGAAACTAGAGGAGCTAGAATAATGTACCGCTCCCATACTCCCCCCCACCCATATTATGAGCATTTAGATATGATAGGATATACAGCCAATGGAAAGTTTAGGCAATCAAAGGGGAAAGCATAGGAAAATGAAAAGCTTTCTGTATTGAAGACATGTCACTGTTCCATGAATCATTCAGTATTAGTTACATGAAAGTCACTCAGTTGATTCTGCGTCTCCCAACTCTATACCATCTTGGTACAGTACGTGGTTTATCTGATGGATCTTCTTCTGAAGGAGTAAGTTCCGGGGTTTCCAAGTGAAGAGCCTTCAAGAGAATAATTCAAGTATCTAAATCAGAGGCATGAAATGCCTGTTCTCGATGAATCACCTGCAGCTTGTAGTTTGCAATCCAACGATATTTAATCTTTGCAGCAGTCAGGGTAGAGGTAATTGGTTTCAACAGCTTCCTTCTATATAGTGTTTCAGGGGAAAGGTCTTGCAGGGCTTGTATTTTGGATTCTTTAAAAGTTAAGTAGCCTTTGGTATGGGATTGCGTCAGGATAGAAACCTTGGTACGGAGGTTAGAAAAACGTACTACAATGTCTCTTGGCCAGGCTTTTCGGTGTTGTTGTCGAATAGGGCCCAGTCTATATGCATAGTCCAGTAAGGGGGCCACACCATCTTCTAATTGCAAAATGGACGCCAGCCAATTCGCAATAAAAATTGCAAGCTCTTGTGTTATCTTCAGATTTCTCCGGAAATCCACGAAATTTTATGTTATGGGCTCTAAGTTGGCTGTCCAGAGACAAATCCTATTAGTAGCCCATTCTTCTCTCTTCCTTAAGAAACGCGTATCATCTTGAACCACTAGGCCCGTTTCTATTGCTGATTCGGCCGTCTGAGAGACTTTATCCAAAGCTGATTTAAATTCAGCAATCTGCGAGGCAATGGGTTTAATGAGTTCCGCAGTACATGCAGCCATGTTTTTTTCTAAAGTCTCTAATGTTCCAAATAATTCCTCTCGAGTAACTGCTATGCCGTCCCCATGGAGTTCTTCCCGCCCGTCCGCCATTTTGTTTTTATCAGGGCTTGTTGTTTGTGGGGTAGAGGAGCCGCGTTTAGGTGGAAAATAAGAGTTCATCGACCTTGTTTGAACTCCTTCCGAGGTCTGTTTTAGCTGTGAGCTTTTCCCCATGTCAGATGAACGTTTATTTGTGATCCGTCGGCTGTACGATGGTAGTGGGGGGGGGATTCTGCGGGAGCTCCAAAATCAAGTGTCCATCAACCTCCGCTGCGACGCCACGCCCCCTTATATTTAACTCGTTAACGCGGTGGTGTTGGCGGCATGTTGAGGTGTGGGCATTTTTTGTTGTGAATACAAAACAGCCGCTTGCAAAATATCATTAAGAGAGAAGGGCATAATGTATCGCTTGAAAATATTTATGAGCTTACCACACAATGGTTTACCAGGTGAGTAACAACAGGAAATAAAAATAATACTGTCAGTGAAATGAGGTCGCGTCTGTAAACAAATGCGAGGGTATACTGCTGCACCGCATGGGTTTGCCAGCTTCCAGGTGGGGCCTGGGGTTCTCCCGGAGTTACAACTAATCTCCAGACTACATAGATCACTTCCGTTAGATGAAATAGTTGCTTTGGAGGTTGTGCTAAATAGCATCGCATCCCCACTGACCTCTCTCCCCAAAGGCCAGACTCCCCAAACCTCCAGGAATTTACTCCGCATGAAGCTGCCTTTACAATTTGGAAGTTCCAGGTGGTACAAAATAGGGCTGCTGCTTGCCAGTTCTTGAGAGCCCACAGGTCTAGGGAGGGAAAATCCCTACTTAATACAAGTCTACAGACAATGGAGCTGCGGTGGCTCAAGTGGTTAAGACGTTGAACTGCAGGCTGTGGAAGGTCAGTAGTTCAGCAGTTCAAGACCCGGGTGCCGCAAGACGGAGTGAGCTCCCGTCTCTAGTTCCAGCTCCTGCCAACCTAGCAGTTCGAAAGCAAGAAATTGCAAGTAGATAAATAGGTACCACTTCGGTGGGAAGGTAACAGCGTTCTGTGCGCCTTGGTGTTTAGTCATGCCGGCCACATGACCACGGAAACGTCTTTGGACAGCGCTGGCTCTTCGGCTTTGAAACGGAGATGAGCACCGCAACCCTAGAGTCGGATTCGACTGGCTTTTGAGCAAGGGAACCTTTACCTTTACTTACAGACAATGTAAGGCCATCTTTTGGGGGGGCTTAAGATGGACACTAGGCTAGCTGTGGAAGATGTGGGGTCCAACCGCTGATGTCATTTTTAGCAGCTTGTTGCTAGCTTTGGCTGCCTTGAGTTGTGATTTATGGGGAGAAAGGCAGGATGAAGATGAAACTCCAAAAACGTAAAACCAACAAAGAAAACAGTAGCTCCCACTTACGCATTTCAAGTAGCTTATATAAGTTTTTGTGCTACTCTGTGTTTGTTTTTCCTTGGAGGAACTGCAAGGAAAACTGCAACTGGGCTTTTATGCAGATTTTTATATGGCATTGCATTTTCTGGAAATCTTGGGACAGTGAATCAAGAAAAAGAGTTGGTTTTTCTACCCTGTTTTTCTCTACCTGAAGAAGCCTCGAAGCAGCTTACAATCACCTTCCCTTCCTCTCTCCACAATAGACACCTTGTGAGGTAGGTGGGGCTGAGAGAGTTCTGAGAGAACTGTGACTAGCCCAAGGTCATCCAGCTGGCTTCCTGTGGAAGAGTGGGAAATCAAACCTGGTTCTCCAGATTAGAGTCCGCCGCTCTTAACCACTACACCACACTGGCTCTCAAGGGTCCTTCTTCCATAGACCTTTTTCGTCCTGCCTCTCAGGCGGCTTGAAGGGGTGGAAAGCTGTGACTGGTGAGATGGAGAACAGCTTACCTGGGTACAACCTGTAATTGCACATGCCCCACTTTCTTGACTCTTGAAAATTTTCAGAGATGGCACTTCCTGGAATTGATTTTGTTTGTCCGGGAGAGCGACTTGCAGACTTCTGCCATTTTTGTAATACTTGCTGTATTTATTGTGAATAAATGTCCTCCACCCTCGAATCCACTGTATTCTGTTATTACTTGGGCCTACACTGTATGTATGCCCCAGAGGCTACAATGCTGGTAAAAGACTGGCAGAAGGAAAACTGCAGAAGATGAGTCATCTTTCTCCCAAGCACAAAGCACTCCAGAGCTTAGTTATGCAAATAGCTGTGGTCAAAGCAAGAACACAGGTTTAACATTTCACACCTCACTGGAAAGTTACACCTAAAGTGACAGAGACTGGGACAGCCAAATGACTAGATAGTAATTTCTCCCTCTTGTGGCAGGAAGATCAGAACTAGTCCCAAAGGGGGACAAACTCCCAAGGGAAGATTAAAAATTCTTAGGAGAGGAGCTGTCTGCTCTGATGCTCTCGTCTCTTGGATGGACGGAAGCTATGAAAGAGGAACTTCATTTTGACCACATATCAAGGGACAGTGCAAGAAGTCCCAATTCTGTGAATTAAAGTAAAAATGGACCGTTGAATGCTGCAACTTCAAAAATTACCAGTCCTTCCCAATGTAGAGTCAAGAGGCTGCATGTTTTCACCATTTATTATCTTCGCTCAGCCTGGTGCTTGAACAGAACACGTGTACCCTTTTTGTTTATTAAACTTTCTCATGTTTTGAGTGCTCAAAGCCTGATCTCCGTAAACACACCACGCCTCTTGGACCTGCTTTCCAAAGAGCAGTAAAGGGGAGGGGCAGCAGGTGAGCTCACCCTCCCTGGAGCACAATCGTTCAAAAGTGTGAAAGTAGAATAGATCATCCCTGTGGTAGCCAGTAATGAGCAAAGCAAAAGACACACACAGCAACTACACAGAGCTTTTAAACAGCAATGCAGATACAAAGTGCTGGATGTATAAATCCATCTAGCAGGACTCGGAGATGCTCTCAGTTTTGAGGGTGGCAGCGGTTATTACCCAGTGAGATTGCTACTGCCCCGCCAGGTGCTGCTGTTTGCCCCCCTCAGCCCCAGGAATATGCAAGTTTACACAGTAATAGATCCCCCTTACCTGAACAGCTTTATCTGTTTATTTGGAAGTAGGCTCCCCCCACCCCCAAACCACACATTTGCACAATGAACGACCATGTGCATGCTCCTTTAAGCAATCCTTTCTTTTCCCTGACTGGCTTCTGCATCTGGATGCAGTATTGTGTTTTTCACTTTGTAAAGTAGAACCCACGAATATTGTTCGTTTACTTTAAGCAGGTCCTGTCGTGCTGTTCTTCTAAAGGCTGGGGGGTGGGTGTTCTGTCCCTTTAACAGAGATTAAATGAATGGAAATGGGCAGTTTAAGCTTTTCATGGCATGGAGCCAAATAGCATCACCTGATCATTCTTCTAGAGGCAGGGAGGGGAACTGTTGTTGGTGCACATCTGGCCAGCTGCCACATCATCTCAGCTGTGTTGTTTTTCTCTTTCCTGACTGTTGGTACAAGGGGGTGGGTGTGACCAGAAGCATGAGCTTTGAGGCGAGAGCCAAAAGTCTTTCGTTCTGCAGCCTGTGCCTTCAAATGAGTCAGCTGCTGTATCCAGGACTGGACTGAGACTAAAATATGGTTTGCAGTTTTCTTTCTTTACTGGTTTATTTTGTGGAGTTTTTATTGTTATTATTGAAGAAGAGAAGAGATTGGATTTATACCCCGCCCTTCACTCAGACTCTCAGAGCGGCTTACAAACTCCTTTCCCTTCCCCTCCCCACAACAGACACCCTGTGAGGTAGGTGGGGCTGAGAGAGCTCTTCCCAGAACTGTCCTTGAGAGAACAGCTCTGACAGAACTATGGCTTGCCCAAGGTCATCCAGCAGCTACAAGTGGAGGAGTGGTGAATCAAACCTGGCTCTCCCAGATTAGAGTCCACGCACTCAACCACTACACCAAACTGGCTCCTTTGGGGACAAAAACAGGATACAAATATTTAAATAAATAAATAAAATTGCATGCGGATCAAACTGCTATTGAAACTCCTAACTTGGTAACTTTAAAGGTATATAACACATTTTAACCAGACCAATGAAAGGTCCATCCCACCAGTATCCCTGAGCTTGTGCAATAGTTTGTTGTTAGCCATTCAGTCGTGTTCAAATCTTGGCAATTCTATGATCCAGCTCTCTCCACGTTTTCTGATCTTGTACAGTTCTTTGAGTCATTCCATGCTCACACTGGTTTCGACTTTTATGGTATCTAGCCACCATGTTCCTTGGCAGCCCGGTTTCCTTTGGCCGCTAACCAATCCAAGCATAATTGCTTTTTCTAGTGAGTTCTTCTGCATGACATGGCCAAAATAAGTCAGTCGCAGTTTTGTGATTTTTCCTTCCAATGGCATGTCTGGTTTTATGTGCTCCAGTACTTGCTTGTTTGAGCCTTACAATACTTGCAATTGTTTAAGCCTCCCCAAATGACAACTTTAGAGTACATGACTTATCAGTAAATAATGGTCAAAAACCCTTTGCTTCTCCAGCCAAAATGCTTGTCAGGTTCATCAAGGAGAGTTCCTTTGTACCAAATCTGACACGGATAGGCCAAATCACATTTTTATATGAAATGGCTTTCCTAATGACAAAGTGCTAAAATTTTGCTTTCTAATTTATTGACTATTTAAAAATGTATTTCTCCATTTTATAGTTCCCAGAGGATTTTCAAAGCGACTTACAAAAATCCTCATAATACATTTCTATTAAAGCTGTTCCTGGTTGACATCCTTTAACATCAGCAAGTGCCTTCCAGGGCTACCCCTTCTTGGGAGTTTTGCCTTCCAGACGGCAGCTCCTACTGAGACAAATGAACGGGGCTGAATTCTAGAAGCTACTTGGCCCTTTGTGAACTTACTCAGCTCCCCTGATTCCAATATTCCTTAACTGACACCTGGAGTAGGGACTCAAAAGTGTCCGTCCCCCCCGAGAACTTTGCCCTTCCATCAGATAACAAGGATAACGGCACATTTACTGAAGACTGCTTAGTACAGACACCAAATAAATAAAATGTTCAAGGCTGTATCCATCAGCAGAGCCTGTGCATGGTTATATACATTCACCATTTTTGCAAGTTAGGCCACAGGCGGTTCATTGCTTGTGTTCCTGGACTTCTTAGAAGTAACAGCCTGCTTTTATGCAGAAGGTTCATCCCACGGGCAGAATCTTGGGGAATTACCCCCGGGGATTTTCCTATTATTTTATTGTCAGTAGCACCCACCATCTCATCAGTCTCTCAGGTCCCCATGAGAACAAATGTCTTCATGCCTGTGACAAGTGGGCTCTGGCTCACAAAAGCTTGTGCCACAATATATTTGTGAAGTCTTCAGGTTGTCACAAGAGTCTTTGTTATCACAAAGAGGACAAAGTACATCCTAATGTCTTGGTGCTCTTCACATGCAGTGTGATCTCCGCATTCTACCACACAAACAACAAACCAGATGGTTTAGCAACCAAGAAGGAGAACTTTCTTGAAACAAGTCAGGACAAGACTAATTTTGACAAGGAGTATGCGAGTCTCCTTTCTGCCCTTTTCCCTCTGGGGAAGCTGACAAAGGGTCTGGATCAGAGAATGGAACCTTATTAGGCTTCCCTCCTCTGGGATCCAGATGTTCACCTCTTTTACAGCCTGCCTGGCTCAATCAAGAGGCTGCACAGTCCTCCTTCAAAGGGCACCGAGCCCCAAGTTCAAGGGTGTTCACCTGTCCTAGCTTAGGTTCCAGTGGACCCACGAAAGAGATCCTTTCCCACTTCCAGCTGAGGCTCAAAAGTAGGTCGAACGGATGACATGAACCATGATCTTCCCTGGCTTCTCTTCGAGGATGGCTTTAGATTTCCAGCTGGCTCTAGAATACAAGACATTAACTTGAGTTAAAAGCAAGGCATCTAATTGGTGGAAGGACAGAGAGCAAAAGAGGAGAGGGGAAATGCAGTCTCACTGAAAGAGAACAGCACTTAAGCAGACCTCTTGGGCTCTTTGGCGGATGGAAGAACATTAAAAAGGAGGGGGGAGGGAGAAAGAGAGAATAGATTTTAAAACAGAGTAGGGAAAAGCAGTTAATGCAACATCCTGAGCCCACCAAAGCAGAGCTCAAAGCAACTGTGTTGGTCCTGCAGAAACAACAGCATAGGATAGGTAAGGAGATTATTATTTTTAAAAAATTATTATTTATTTCATTTCTATACTGCCAATAGCTAAAGCTCTCTGGGCTATCTACAACAAGTATAAAACAGTAAAGTACAATAAATAAGACATTAAATAACAATTAATATAAGAACATTAAAACAGTAAAAGCAGTAAACAATGATTGACAGAGGCACCAAGCTAATCATAACAGGCCCCCGAATCACCAAGGAGATCTTTAAAGGCCTCTGTCAAAAGAGCTGTCTTAACCTGGTGCCAAAAAGATGGCAGATTAGGCGCCAGGTGGGCCACAGCAGTGAGGCTGTTCCAAAGATGAGGGGCTGACACAGAAAAGGCCCTACCCCTAGTTTCTACTCTTTGAGCCTCTCGAGGAGTTGGCACCCAGAGGAAGACTCCAGAGGCTGAGCACAGTGTTCGGGTAGATTGGGGCTGGAAGCGCATAGGCAGCAGAGATGCATTTGATTTGGACTAAAGAGTCTTTCTAAAGTGCAAATACATGTTTTGGGATGAGAGGTGCCAACGGGCCTAGAGGAAAATGTTCTGTCCCTTTCACAAAGGCTTAATGTGTGGAAATGGGCAGTTGAAACTCTTCATGTCATGGAGGTAATAACATCCCATTAAGCTTCTACTAAGGGGCTGGACATTTTTCTCCAGGGTAGGGTTACCACCAACCAAAAAGTGGGGCCTGGCATTCTCCTGGGATTATAGACTACAGAGATCAGTTCCACTGAAGGAAATGGCAGATCCAGAGCACAGACTCTACGATGGCAACACATCCCTCCTCAGCTCCCTCCCCTCCTCAGGTATCACTCCCAAATCTCCAGGAATGTCGCAAAGCCAGAGTTAGCAGCCCTGCCAGGCAGTTGCCAACACTATTTGGGGCTCAACTGGATTTTTAAAACATGTGAAACATTCACAACTTATCAGCATGGCTATTTACTTACTTCATTTATACCCTGCCTTCCTCCCCAGTGGGAACTCAAAGTGACTTACATCACTGTCCTGTCCTCCAGTTTATTTTCACAAGAACCCTAGTGAAGTAGGTTAGGCTGAGAGAGTGTAACTTGCCCAAGGTCACCCACTGTGCTTTCTTGGCAGAGCAGATTTGAACCTGGGTCTCCAAGATGCTAGTCTGACACCCTGACCGCTGTACTCCACTGCAAACAAAACAAGCTATTCACTTCCATTATTGCAAGCACAGGAGAGATGGATGAATGTGCAGATCCAGCTTGGTAACATCTGGAGCACCAGGTGTGACATTAAGCCATTTAAGACTGCTGTTCTTTTAAGAATGCAAGAAAAGTCTTGCTGGGTCTGTTTTAGCATCCTGTTTACAGTTGTGACTGGGAAACTGATAAGCAGAAAATGAAGGTAACTGTGTTCCTGTTTGTCCCCCAGCAACTGGCATTCAAAGCTGTACTGCCTCTGAACATGGAAGTTCCATTTAGATCCCACGGATGGTGGCTATTGATTCCCTTGTCCTCCTCTGGGAATAAGGGCTGCCAGCAGTCCTGGGGAAAAAAATGTTCTGGCTCTTTAATAGAGGCTTAATGCATGGAAATGGGCAGCTGAAGCTTTTCATCGTAAGTAACATCAATAAATAACATCCTAGTAAGCCTCGGTTAAAGGGACAGGACACTTTTTTCCCTCCAGGCAGATGGCAAAGCTTAATGGTTAGGAATTTTCCTCCCAATATGCATTCTTTTTCACTTTTTTCTTGTTTTCCTCCAGTGGAAGAGATCTGTGTAAGCTGAAGTTTCCCATCCTCTATTTTAAGATCCTGCTTGGCCCAGATAACAGATTTTCTCATATCTACTCACTGGTGTTTGACACCTAAAACCATACCACTGAGTTTTCTGTTCACCTTTGCGGTTTTGGTTGGGGGGGGGGCACAGATTCCAGCCTCAAGGGAGACAAGAAAGGGCAAAGGTCATCTTGAACTGCACTCCCCCCTTTTCCCTGCTCGCCCTGAAGACTGACTGGGAAGCAGTAGACATTCTACCCCACAGTTTGGAGAAACAGACCTACCTTTCCTCGACTTGTTCGATGGTGTCCATGAGGGGGACCTGGAGCATTTCCGGAAGGAAGCCGGCAGAAATGCCGGAGATTATGGGAGCAATGCCAAAGACCAGCAGAGGCAGGGAGGGCTGGTAACCACCAGCCAGCAGCACCATCGGTGCCACAATGCCACCCAGACGTGACATTGCCGTAACGAAGCTGGTGCCTGTTTGCCTGCCGAGAAAACTGTGGGTTAAAATCCTCACAGTGCACCCACTTCCACCCATTGTGTGGATTCCAAGGCAAAGCCTGGGAGCATGCCAGATCTGATAGAGGGAGGAAGCACGGCTTTGAAAGGGCCCTTTACAGCTCTCTGTGGTGTGGGCTGTGTACTCGTAGGACACCCTTGCCCAGGGTTGAGCTTACCTGATGACTGTTGGGAACAGCTCACCCCCATAGAGATACAAGCACATGGAGGAGGCTGCCAGGCACCCCTTCCCCAGCACCACCAAGGCCATCCGGACCAACAGCATCTCTAGAAACAAACAGGAAAAAACTGCTCAAGGTGGGAATGCCTCCAACCTCCTCCCTGACTCGCAAATGAACTGCTGCCCAGGATGGGGAAGCTCCATCCCTGGAAGGGATGTAGGAAACACAAGACTTCCTGGAACTGGACAGCATTTACTCATACTGGACACCAGGGGTCATTTCCTGCAGGAGCGCACAGGAGCAGAGCTCCGGCACTAAAGAGCCCAGGGGGCGGGCACATGCAACAAGCCCCACCCCCTGCTCCCAGCAGCCCTCTGTCAGAGCAAGAAGCAGCCAGGTTAGTTGCAAAGGCCCCCCCCTGGCCCCCCGGTCCAAAACAGTCCAGTGGCACCTTTAAGACCAAGTTTTATTCAGGTACAAGCTCTCCCTCCTCTGTGAGGACAGATCTGCACGTTCCCCCGCGCCCCAATAGCTAGCAATCCAAAACCGTCCAATGGAGCCTGAGCGGTGGGTGTTGCCATCTGACACACTTCCGGTGATGTCAGGGTGTGTGACATATGCAAATAAGTTATGCTAATGAGTTATGCTAATGAGCCCCTGCACCTCTTTTTCTACAAAATGACCCCTGCTGGACACCAATAAAAGCATGCTTCTCCAAGCTGGATAAGTCATGCAAATGGTTATGTCTTTGCAGGGATAGCTCCAGGCTTTGGGGGACCCAGACAGAGAGTTCCTAACCCCCCCCCCCTTAATCTTCTGGGTATCACCAGGCCCCTGCTTGTTTTCCATCCTTCCCTCCCACCTGCTTGTGTGTTCTTCCCTTGTCTGCTCAAGACCCTCTCCCACCTCCCTTGCTCACAGCTGCCTGCAGCCCTTTCCCCAGTGGCACTATGCAGTGCGTGCAGCGGGAAGCATTGATAGTGGAGTGCTAGCAAGTGAGTGTGCAGGGGCCCTGCCAGAAACCCTGGCCCTTGGGAGCTCCCCCACCTCAGGGTATGTTGACGCTGGCCCCTGTGTATTTGCATAATTTCTTCTCCCACTGGCCAAGGACCTGTGAAGGGTCCTGAAGCCCTAACCCCGGTTCAGACCCTTTTCAGGTTCCGCCATGTAGTACCAGCATCCTTCCTGGCCTGTTTCTGCAGCCATGAGGGTTGGAAGGTTTGTTTTCAAAAAATGATTGTGAGCCTATGGAATGCCCAAAGATCTTCTGCAAAAGCTCTGTCTTCAAGTTCAAGCAGGGATGAGGATTTCCAGCTGTTTTCAGAGGGCACTGTCGCAGCAGGTATCGAGATGTGATAGCTGTGCCAAGATGCTTATCAAAAGAGGGCTCCCCCACTACTACTTCTGTAGGTTGCTTCTTACCAGGAGGCACAGGGAGTGTGACCAACAAGAAAGCCCCAGCTAGGACCAGGGAGGTGGCTTGAATGGTGCGACGGCCAAAGAAAGTCAGCAGCAGGGCGCACCCCATCTTGGCCAGCAGGTCTATCGATCCAAAGAACAACTGCATCAAGAAGATGTTCAGGCCAAACATTGAGAGGTCCATGGAGAGGCCAAAGTATGCCATGTTCATGGAGAAGCTGAGAGGAAAAGGGCTTAGTCAGTTGAGGGGGAAGCACAAGTCATCTTCCCTAAGTAAAACAACCCAGACAAATTTCATAGCATCTGGAAGATCTGCCTATGCTCCATGCATAAACTGATGAGAAAAGGTGAAAGGATCTGGGTCTTTTCAGTTCAGAAAAAAAAAGATTACCAGTGGGGGCATGATAAATGTTGATGGACATGCCTGGGCTGGAGAAAATGGACAGAGAGAACTTTTTCTCCCTCTTCCTTAATAGTACACATCTGAAGCTGCCTTATACTGAATCAGACCCTTGTGGCCCATCAATGTCAGTATTGTCTGCTCAGACTGGCAGCAGCTCCCCCGTCTCAGGTGGAGATCTGTCACATCACCTACTATCTAAGCGTTTTCACTGGAGATGAACCTGGGACCTTCTGAATGCAAAGCAGAGGCTCTTCCAATGAGCCACAACCCCCCCCTAAAGGGTAGTACCATGGACTCTACCACTGAGCCATGGCCCCTCAAAGTAGAACTCAGGGTCATCCAATTAAGTTATAAATTGTGGCATTTACTGGCAGTGGATGTAGTGGCCTTCAGCATGGATGGCTTTGAAGAGGGTTAGACAAATTCATGAAGGATAAGTCCATCTTTGACCCATCTTCTAGATCACCATATAGTTCCTGCTTCTCCCTTTTGTTATTGTAGACTTTATTACTATTGTCAATACAGTTCATTTATGGAAAAAAATAGTTCTGTTACACACACACACACGCAAATGCTTGATTGATGCTTTATCTGCTTGCTTAGACAAGTGCATATTGACTGTCAACATAATGCAAAATTATACAATACAAACTGTTTATTGGCCCTCCAGGGTAACTGGTTGGCTGCTTTCTGAAACAGGTTGCTGGACTAGAGGGACCACTGTTCTGACGCAGCCAAGCTCTGCTTATCCAATGTTTTGCTAAGCTTACTCAAGAAATCTTTCTTGTGGTATTTTTTCAAGAGCCTTTTGGAAGTCCAGGTATACAATATCCAATAAAACACCCTCCTCCGCATAACATGTTCACCTTCTCAAAGAAGGATAGGGGCACTGGGAGAAAGTTTCAGATATTAGTATAAGAACATAAGAAGAGCCCTCCTGGATCACACCAGCGGTTCATCTAGTCCAGCATCCTGTCTCACACAGTGGCTAGCCAATTACTCTGGAGGGCCAACAACAGGTCATAGAGGCCAAGGCCTTCCCCTGATGTTTCCTCTTGGCACTGGTATTCAGAGGTTTGTGTGTGTAAAATGCTGTCAAGGCAGAACCAATCTATGGCGACCCCACAGGGTTAAGGCAAAAGAGGTGGTTTGCCATTGCCTGCCTCTGCATAGCAACCCTGGACTTCCTTGGTGGTCTCCCATCCAAGTGCTAACCAGGGCCAATCCTGCTTAGCTTCTGACAAAATCAGGCTAGCCTGGACCATCCTGGTCAGGGCCTTCAGAAGTTTACTGCCTCTGAATCTGAAAGTTCTCATTAGTCACCGTAGCTACCAGCTGCTGCTAAGACCTATCTTCCATGAATCTATCTAATCTCCTTTTAAAGCTGTCTATGCCTAAGGCCATCACTACATCCTCACGCAGTTCTTTGGGGGTAGAAAGGGAAATGAGAGGGGAGGAAGGACATAGAAAACTGAGGGGGAGAATATCTGAAGATCAATCACTATATCTAATAATAAAGTGGCTGCTCCCACGTCATTTGTGAAAACAGAAAAACAAAGCCGCCCACAAATGAGGAAGGGGTCGCTATGTCTTCATAGAATTCACTGGGTATGTAGGGGAAATGTGATTTTTGTAAATTAATGACAAGAAAGAAGAAGGCTCATCCCTTTCCTTCTGCATCCTTATCCCTTTTTTCCCTCCACACCTTTTTTTCTTTATTCTTATCCCTTTTTCTGCACACCATTTTTCTCCACGTGTGCAGGCAAACCCACAGGCATTTTCAAGAGTTTCCTAGTTGTACACGGTACCTGATGAACATGAGGCAGCAACTGATACGTCTCAGGGCAGGTGTTCGAAAGAGGTCCAAGCAGGAGTGGGCACCCCTCCCTGAGGTCTTGCTTCCCACCTGAGTCTCCAGCATCTAGGAGGGAAGACATGGGAGGAAGGAGGTCCAAATGCCTGTTGTGGACAGCGGGACTGTGACTGGGTCCCCCAGAAGACATTGAATCTTGCCACCTGGACCTGCCAACCCTCTGCCTGCGCTTGAGAGACCATCTTTGCCTACCTGCCAGTCCAGCTGCTGGAGCTGAGCCATGGAGCAGGCACAGATCACTGGGAGCTCCACTCACCTCCAGGAACACGGTGTCTCCCGTGGCTGCCTTCCCGTTGATCTTGGCTACACGTTTCAGGTTACACAAGGCAGCCTCGTGCTTATTGTTGGCGAGGAGCCACCGTGCAGATTCTGGGAGCCACCTGAGGAGGTCAAAGACTCTGTATGACATGGGCCAAGGAGTCTGTTTGGCTAGAAGGAAGTCCCCGCCCGCCTCAGAAGCACCACCAGCAAGGGTCCCATGGGATGAATGGTCACAACGGTCTCCCAGACAGCATTATGTGGTCTGTAAGCTTAGGCAGGCAAGGGGGGGATCTTGAGCAAGAAGATTCTCTGCCTTTGCCTCCATTTTTGGCAAGGATGGAGACTCACCAGGAGTAGGCGAAGAAGCAGAAGAAGGGCGCAGAGATGGCCAGCTGCAACCAGCGCCAGTCCCGAATGCCGTAGGCCAGACCGGCCAGCAGCACCTGTCCTGCCGTGCTGCAGTAACTCTGTGTGGCGATCACTATGGCCCGGTGTCGGGTGGGCACCCACTCCAGACCTGAGGAAAGAGGAAGAAAGAGATCTTGACTTCTAAAGGTTGACGTGACAAACTCTTGTGAGGGCAGTGAAGGAGGAGTGTGGTTGAGGGCGTGGAGAATCTTGATGAGTGGAAGTCTTTCAGAGCACACTAGACAAACATTTGGTAGGATTCCTTTTGGTAGACTGAGCCCCACCAAGGCAGGAGGAGCCACATATTCTTTTATTAGGGTCAACCAAATATCTCCAAATAGTGCGCAACCGACTGAGTTCTCTAGAACTCTTCAGCTGACTGGATTTTTTTTTTTAAACGAGGGGAGGGATATGATGTTAAGGCCTCTTCTCTGCATCCTGTATGGGATATGCTGCAGATTTAATTCGATCAGGTGGTGCTGAGCCAAGGAGATATCATGTTGCACTTTAAGCTTCAGGGACAAAGAAAGAAAAATGACAGCCTCCATTTTAAAATATGAAAAGCAATTGTTGATCAAAGGTCTCTCTCTAGCTGAAAATAGAACACCTTTAAAAGGGCGAGAGCAGAGGGGAGATGTGGTTGTTATTCACAGTGTAGTCCTAAACAGAGTCAAACCCTTCTAAGCCCACTAAGAAAGACTGACTGAAAACCAGAGCAAAACAAAACAAATAGGCAAGATAGCAAGTTCAGCACGATGTACTGATAAGAGGATTTTAAAAAGAGGATAAAAATATTTAAAGATAGTGTAAATAAAGCTGCTTTATTTGACTAGGTTAGTAAAGAAGCAACATTCTTAGGTTTGGATGCTGGTCACAGTATTCAGATTCTTTCATTAAATGAAACAAACTGGTGAATAAGGAGAAATATGCCATAATCAAGAAGGAAAAAATCAACATGTTCCAGACTTAGAAAGCTTCTGAAGTACATGAAGCTCAACATGAAAGTTCAGAATTGTAAAATACAGATATTTAAGACATCAATTCGAATTTGGCATGCTATAATTTTCAAGGATATTATTTAATGGGACTTATTTGTGAGATGTGACACAAGAACATAAGAAGAACCCTGGAGGACACCAGCTCAGGGCTGGGAAATACCTGGAGATTTTGGGGGTGGAGCCTGGGGAGGGCGGGGTTTGGAGAAGGACCTCAGCAGAGTACAATGCCATACAGTCCAACCTCCAAAGCAGCCATTTTCTCCATGGGGAACTGATCTTGATGGTCTAGAGATAATTTGTAATAGCAAGACCCTTTCAGTGGTCCATCTAGTCCAGCATCTTGTTCACTCAGTAGCCAACTAGTTGATCTGGAGGGCCAACAAACACAGCACAGAGACCAAGGCCTTCCCCTTCTATTGCCCCCTAGCCACTGATATTCAGAGGTTTACTGCCCCTGAATATACAGGCTCACTTTGTTCACCATGGCTAGTAGCCACTAATATAGGCCTATCCTCCATGAATCTTCCTAGTACCCTTTTTAAAAAGCCATCTATGCTTAATGGCCATCACTACACTGATTCCATGGGGCCACAACTCTTGACCCAAGTTTGAATCAAGAGCCAGTGTAGTGCTGGACGAGGATCAGGGAGACCCAGGTTTGAACACCCACTCTTGCCATGGAAGCTTGCTGGGCGACCTTGGGCCAGTCACACACTCTTGGCCTTCCCCAGGCCTTGACAAATTTTCTTCGGCTTGAGAAGCTGGATTAATTCTTCATCCCTCAGGGTTCTGTATTTTAATGACCACATTTTTATAATTATTGCTACCACAAAACCTTGCCGTAGCCTCTTCTCAGTTTCTTGTGATACAATTGTTGTCACAAGCATTAAATAAATGTAGGAGTAGCACTAGTTTTTATCATTGCAACGAAAAGCTTACCACTAATCCTGACTTAATGTCTCCCCAAATTCTCATTTCATTATAGCTTTTAAAAGATCAGTTTAATTAAATACCAGAGCCAGTATAAAAAAACAACTGGTGAATTCATCAACTGCCATCAAATATAAAGCTAATTTATAAACAACAAGCAATGATGGGAACTAAGGGCGGCCACGTCCTTAGGGCCACCTGCGGGGGATAGGGGGATACAGTTGCCAGATCCAGGTTAAGAAACTCCTGGAGACTTTGGGGATGGAGCCTGGGGAGGACAGAGATCTCTGTGGACTACAGTGCCACGGAGTCCACTAGGGTTGCCAGATCCCCCCCCGGGGGGGGGGGTTTGCCTGCTTTAGGGGGCCCTGATCCGCTGGCCCAGATCCAGCCAGCGGGGGGAACCCTGCCCCCAAAGTGCCTGGATCAGGCCAACATGCACGGTGCAATGACATCCCCTGGAAGTGACATCACGCCAGCCACATCGCCGGGGGGGACGCTCTAGCATTTGACCCGTGTTTCTAGCGGAATGCTAGAACGCCCCCCTGACAATGTGCCTAGCGTGATAACATCTCTTCCAGGAGAGGAGCTTCTCCCCCCCCCCGCCAGCAAAAGGTAAGTACCTGGCAATCCTAGAGTCCACCCTCCAAAGCATCCATTTTCTCCAGGGGAGCTGATCTCTGTCGTCTGGAGAGGAGCTGTAATTCTGGGGGATCCCCAGGCCCCACCTGGAGGCTGGCATCCCTACAAGAACTTCATGGTCTTGCATAGGGCTGCCAAATGTGGGCGGGGGGTGGGGAATCCCATACAAGGGAAAACTCTATGGTTTTCCCTTGTATGGCCGTGGCCCTGCCCCCAGCGTGCCCAGCGTGCCTACGTCACTTCCGGGTGACGTGCACGCGGCACGCACGCGCGCAAAGCCCCGACGCCGGCCGGGAGCCCCCCACTCCCGGCGAAGACAGATTTGGCAACCCTAGTCTTGCATTTTCTATGTCATACACAAATCTTACTCTGAGGTGAAATGATAAATAAGCTTTGCAGTCTGTACAAACTGAGGGTTGCCAAGAGATAATACAATAAAATCATTGTAAAAAATACCAGGCAGGCACCACATTGAAAATCCTACGTGTCATGGCAACGTGGTGCTTGGGATTTGCCAAGCCCTGGCCTAATCTACCTCATAGGATTGTTGTCAGGATAACCTTGGATGCTCTAGGCTGATCCTAAATTGAGCAGGGGGTTTGACTAGGTAGCCTGATGGCCTCTTCCAACTCTGTGATTCTATGAACATGGAGGAGAGGAAAACAATGGAAGCCACTTTGGGTCCCAAGGAGGGAGATATGTCCTAAATAAATACATCTCACCTTTGTGATTTGAAAGCCCAAACCTGGATCACCTGATTTCGTCAGATCTCAGAAGCTGAGTAGGGTCAGCCCTGGTTAGTACTTGGATGGGAGACCATTAAGAAACTAAAGAATTGCTATGCAGAGGCAGGCAATGGCAAACCACCTCTGAACATCTCTTGCCTTGAAAACCTAATGCCGGAGTCTCCCAACCTTTTTGAGCCTGTGGGCACGTTTGGAATTCTGACACGGCACAGTAGGCACAGCCACAAAATGGCTGCCACACAATGGCTACCGCAGGAGGAGGCGGAGCCAGCCACAAAATGATTGCCACAGCTTAACTTCAGTAACACAGGGTGATTTCCCACAAGCACTGCTCCGCGCTCACTCCTCCCTTTTGCCCCATGGTACGTGTCAATTTCACACAACTCAATCCTCAAAAAACAGGATTAAGTAGACGTGGGGAAAATTGCACGAAGCTGCGGGGCAGCTTGTGTGAAATTGACACGTACCTTTGGGCCAAAGAGAAGAGTGAGCGCGGAGCAGCGCTTGTGGGAAATCACCTTGTATTGGGTTGGGAGCTACTGCCAAAACAGCATTAAAAAAATATATGCATAGCCAATCCATTCTAGGGTTCCCAGCCTCCAGTTCCCAGCAGGAAGCCCCACCTCCAAACAGGAACGTCGCTAGGTGATGTCCCAGACACAATGACATCACCCAGAAGTTACATTATCGCATCGGGGACCTCGGGGGCGATACTCTAGGTTTTGGGCAAACTCTATAGTTTTGAAGGCAAAAAACCCATAGAGTTTTGTCCAAAAACTAGAGCATCACCCCCCCAGCGTCCACAACATGACACCACTTCTGGGTAACGTAATCGCAGCACGTACACTTTGCGTGCATGCCAGAAGATCCTGGAGCAGAGGCTGGATCCCCCCGGCGGCAGCCAGGTAGGACCTTGCAACCCTAATCAAATCTCCAATAGTCAATCAGAAGTCTTGCTGGGCAAAAGCCCTACCTGACCCCCCCCCTTCCTAAAAACACTTGGCAGGCACCAGAAAAGGTGTCCGTGGGCACCATGGCACCCACGCACAAGCACCACGTTGGGGACCCCCTGCTCTACTGCAGTTGCTGTAAGTCAGCGGCAGCTTGATGGCACTTCACACACACACACACACACAGTTGGAAGGAACACTGCACCAGAGACAAGAAGAAACTTCCCAAGTGGTTAATAAGATGCAGCTAGGGGCCAGCTGAACAGAGGTGTGAAGGGGTCTGGGAAACCTTTCAGAGCTGCTCATGGAAACAGAAAACAACCGTCACACAAAACCTGAACTTTCAATATTCAGTTGAGAACCACAAAAGACTGCTATTGTCTGTGGATGCAATGTATATATCTATGTGCTGAAATCCTTCACACTACAAAATAGAGTGAAAATCGTTTCAATAGCTGAAGTACCTTGCTTTAGGGGGCCATACCTTCCTGATGTCACTCAGCCAATCAGAGTTCTTAGGGCTGAGTTAGAGGATCCCAGCAGGCAATCTGTACGTTTTTGGAGTCTGTGGACCAGCTCTCTCCTTTGGAGGCTCAGTGTGGGCTGTGGAGGTGAACCTAGGAGCTTCCGCCCTTCAAAGAGGCAGAAAGTCCCCACCCCCATTCCTAGAAAGCTGAGTGGGCTCCATTATCACATTAGCGAGATGGGCATGAGAGAGACCTGCCCTCTGTTTTTGCAAAGAATCCCCTGGAGTATCCTCATAGACCCTACTCTGGTTTCAGAAATAGCGTGTGAAGACAATGCTGAGTTTTTCTTGCTGGCACATGATGCCTTTCATTGTCTGTGATTTGATGTTGTGCTTGTATACCTGTTTTTCTAACCAACAATCTATTTGTTTACTTCATTTATACCCCACCTTTGGATGCAGGTGGACAGTCTGGTCTAAAGCAGAATCCAAAAACAAAAGCCCAATTAAGACCAACCAAAATAACAAATCAGCACAAAAGCTTTTGAGTTCTCTAGAACTCTTCATCAGGCTGAGCATTAAATAATTGCCTGTGGGGGGAGTATTTTCTCCTCATTTTTTATTTAACACCCATCCTTCATGAAGAGCTCTAGAGAACTCAAAAGGTTTCACACTGATTCCTGTTATGCTTTTGATTTTTTGGCTTTTGAATTTTTTTTATTCAACTACATGGGAAACAATGTTTAAGAGAACTCTTCCCTTACAATACTGCTGCCTGTGCCTCTGCAATATTTAAGGCCTTATATGGGCAATTACTTTGCTTGTCAAGCAATGCTTTCTTTCCCTCCCATTACTGAAACAGAGAGACTGTCACATTCTCAATTTATGTACTTTTGCCCTTTTTGTAACAAGGGCCTAGATCACAAACTAGATGGTACATTTAGTCAGGAGTTGGGGCTGTGTTCCCCTGACCCAACTGTGATCCTCTCACAGATGGTAGCTGCTAGGAACACACCAGGGCCCAGTTTGGACAGGGACTACCACATGGGGGAGAAGGGACTGCACATGTACTGATGGGCTACACACACAGCCCCATAAGGCAAATAAACACTCCCTGGGGCATTTTTCGAAGGGCATGTTGGGAAAGACTGCAGCTCCTTCTCCCCTCACACTGCAGACTCAATCTGAAGTGGGCCCTGGCATACTCGGGAAGTCTATGGCCCTACCCACAGGGCTTGGAGTCTGAGGGAAGGAGGGAGAAAGACTCCGCTAGATCACCTTTGGTCATGTCACAGGGGACCGTGTTTTGCCTCCAAACCTTCCTGGGGACTGACTTTTATGAACTGTGGCCACAGACAGGGCTTTTTCAGTAGTGGCACCTCACCTATGGAATTAACCCCCCCCCCCCCCCAGGCTCTCCAGGTGCCTATCGTACTCTCTTTCAGAGGCCAGGTGAAAACTATTCTTTTTACCCCAGCTTTTAACTAAGGATTTTTATGTATTTCTAAACTTTTTCACATTCTGCTTCTAGCCTGAGCACTTTTACGAGGATAATTTTAGGCTGCTAAATGTTTTATGTTGTTTGTATACTCTGGTTGAGTTTGTTCCCCCCCACCCCCCATGGCTGGTTTTTATAAGGCTGGATTGTAATTCTTATAATTTTATGTTTGAGCTGCCTCGGGCAGGCTTCTGGAAAGGCAGCATATACATTTTCTAAATAAACATATAATTTTCAAAGGCTGCTGGAAGTGTGGGAACGAATGGCTCACGCCATGGTTGTGTTTTTTTTACTCCCCAAATCAGCTTGGTCACTCTTATTATTTTAGAACAGAGCTGGGTCTTGACTGTGGGAGGGGGGGAAGTGTAGGGGGCTAAAGTGCTGGGAGCTGGATGCAGGAAACACAGCTCACTGTGTGGTCTTTCCCATCTTACAACCTATACCAGTGGTGGCGAACCTATGGCACGGGTGCCAGAGGTGGCACTCAGAGCCCTCTCTGTGGGCACGTGTGCCATTGCCCCAGCCAGGCCCAGACCATCATTAAAGTGTCGAATTCTCTGCCAAATAATTTGAAGTAAATGAAAGCATTTGGGATTGCTTTCATTACTTTGTTTGGATCATCTTAAGTTAATGTATGAGCTGTTTTTTCTAAAGTAAAACCTCAGTATTCAGGTTAAATTGCCATGTTGGCACTTTGCAATAAATAAGTGGGTTTTGGGTCGCAGTTTGGGCACTCGGTCTCTAAAAGGTTCGCCATCACTGACCTATACTGTTCCACAGGGGTTGTTGTGGGGCTAAAACATTGCTTTCCCTTCTTCAGCCTATCTTACTACCACACACTTTCCCCACCACTCCACATTTTGGGGTACAGCCATCCTGATCTATCCCAGCCCAGGGGACACTCACTGAGGCAGATGTAGTTGAGGAGGAACCCAGAGATGCCCACACCACTCAGGAAGCGAAAGACGCAGTAGGCAGCAAAACTGGCGGATAAGGCAGCTCCACTTCCCATGACAGCGACCAGCAGTAGGGACCAGATGAGAATCAGCCGTCGACCAAACCTGCCCCATGCAGAGGGTAGAAAGAACAAAATGAAAATGATCCATGGGCATTGTCCTGCAGGAAGTGCATAGTGTGGGGGCAGGGAGACCTCACTGTGAGAGGTGAGTGGAGGGGTGTGTGTCCAAAAATGAACACTATCAAGATGGGTAATCATTTTAGTCTGTCTCTAGCTGCAGAAAAGAGCAAGAGTCCAGTAGCACCTTAAAGACTAACAAAACTTGTGGGAGGGGATGAGCTTTCCTGAGTCACTGCTCACTTCTTCAGACACTAATCTGTATCTGAAGAAGTGAGCAGTGACTCACGAAAGCCCAAAAATGAACAGCAGCCAGTGATCCTCGCTTAGGGTTGCTAGGTCCCTCCTGGCTGCCGACTGGGAGATAGGGTGGTGTGAGGTTGCCAGATCCATGTTGGGGAACTCCTGGAGATTTGGGGAAGACAGGGACTTCAATGCCATAGAGAGTCCACCCTCCAAAGCAACCGTTTTCTCCAGGGAAACTGATCTCTGTACTCTGGAAATGAACTGTTATTCCAGGGGGTTCCCAGGTCCCATCTGGAGGTTGGCATCCCAGTCCTCCACCTGACAGCAGATGGTCAGCTTCAGTGGCTAACTAGTGGCAGGACATGATCAATGATTGTCAACCCAACAATCTTACTAATCACAACTAGCAATTCACACAGTATTGCTTATGGGACCCCTATTATTGTGCCTTGGGACAGGAACCCTGAGAGTGGAGTTGGTGGCGTTATGTAAACTCTCCCTTTTATACTGAACTTGGTGGGGGGAAGGGAGATGAATCCAGAAGGGAGAGGGAGAATTTAAGTTGACTGATCCCTTTGGACTGCTCTGGGGGCTACTGAGTCTGGAGCTGGGGATGAGGTGATCCTGCCGTTTGGACCCTCCCCTTTCAGAATATGATGACTCACGGTCATAGGAGCGACTTAGCCAAGAAGGTGAGCATTTGGGGACACCAACCACCCAGCTAAGGACACAAGGAAAGGAGGGCTTAGAAGGTGAACATATGAAGCTGTCTTATACCAAGTCAGACCTCTGGTCTGTCAGTGTCAATATTACCTACTCTGTTCTGAGGGCGGCTCTCCAGGTCTCAGGGAGGGGTCTTAACACGTGCTCCTTTGAAGTGGAGATGCCGGGGACTGAGCCCCTTCCCTGGATAGCTACTTACCTGTCTGAGAGGTCTCCAAAGATGAATGCGCCTACCAGCATGCCTGCCATGAAGAGAGACTGTGCCAGGTTCTTGAGGGGCTGCAGGTTACATACCAAATCCCACTGCAGACAGTAAAGATGGAACAGTGTTGGGACGACAGCCAGAAGGGAAAGCTTACTGAGGCATTAGCAGTCAACTAGTTCTTGAGGGGAGATATGGAATGGCAGTGGGCGAAGGAGGAGAGATTCCCATGAAACAGGCTGCCTTCCCATTACGGAAGGCGCCGTTTTAGCCTAGGGAACTGCAATAGTTGCCTTCTCTGTCCCCCCTGCCTCCTCGCAGCTTGCTGAGGGATGAGAACCTGGGTTCGAGGACCCCTCCTGTTCCTCCCCATCTCCATTTCTACCTCAGATCCACACCACAATGGCCTGGGGCCATGAATGCCAGCAGTTAGGAAATGGGTCTTCCTTGCCATTCTGTGGGGCTGAGTACCAGGCTGGTGTTAGAGGCGTTCAAGCAGCAGAAGTGTGCCCTAGCTAGTGAGGGTTCAGCCTGCGCAAACGGGTCTGTGGTGGTCTCCTGTCCATACCTCTGTCACTATGGTGGAGGCAAAGGTGCTGTTGTCGTACAGCCAGCCGTCGTGACATGGCTCCGTTTCCGCCCCTCGGTCCTTGTCCAGGGAGCCGTTGGGGTCAAGGACCATCCTGTGGACAAAGCGCCGGCACCTGTCTGGGAGCTGACTTTGGTCCAGGGGCACGGGGTGCCCACCAGAGGCGTTGGTGGAAGGCGAGAGACGGCACCTGTGCTCTGGCGAGGCGGCACTGAAGTTCTGCACCAGGTTGTGGCTGGCCAGAAGCAGGACCGGCAGGGAAAGCAGGAGCACGGAGAAGAACTGGAAGAGCCCCATGCTGCCCACTTCCTCCAGCAGGTCCCCAAAAGAGATGGTGGGGGCTTCAGGAGTCTTGGGGACCAGGGATGGGCGACCCTTACCACCTGCGGGGGACATCGTCTGCCAGGCTGGGCTTTCCTTTGCCCCAATTGCGGAATCCGCTTTTATGCCCAGGAGGGGCAGAAGAAGGCAGGGTAGGAGGGGAAAGGGGTTAATCACTGACTGCACCCAGCCCTATCAGGGCTTCAGGGTGACTGGCATACTTCTTCCAGGAAAGGGGGTGGGGGAAGAGGCTGGGGCTTTGGGAATGAGGGTGAGAGGGGGGGGCATGGCATGTTGATCCTGGCTCTTTCCCAGCACATGTTGCCTAAAGCTGAAGGAGCAACTGGAGGTAGCTTCACCCCATTCCTCTAATTTGGGGTGGGGGAGACAGAGGCTGTGTACCAACCACCTTGCAGCCAAATCTGGAAGCTGGGATGTGGCAGGTGCCAGAATAAAACCGAGGACTCTTTCCTTTTTGTCTTCATAGAAGCTGGAGGAGAAAGAAGCATTCATCTTCTCCCTCCCCCACTAATCCTGTCTTTTCTTCTAACCAGAGATTCAGGATAAGGCTGCTCAGCAATGATTCTCCCACCAGACAAGCTGCTCTAGTTAATCAGTGTAAAGACACGCACTAATTGGAATGCCCGTGACACATTCCCACCCCCTCTCCGCTCCAGCCTTGTCCTTCTTCCCTCTAAGGACGCAGGACATTAAGAGTTAATCATTCATGACTTTGACCACCTGCTTCCTGCCTGGCCCGGGACTCCTTCGCACTCGGGTTACATTTGCTGGATAATCCTCCTCCTCCTCCACCATCCTTTGTCCAATGGGCATTATTCCCCCCAGGCTTCTCCCCTAGGCATCCGCCCCACCCTTGTATCAGGAGACACACTGCCTGACTGGGGTAGGGTGGGGAGACGGCTTGGGAAGCAGCACAAGAACAACAAACATGACTTCATTTGAGAGTGGCCTCCCAGGGCTTTTTGACTTGAGGCTGTATTGCTAGGATTCCACCCCAAGCCTAACATTAGGGATCTTTTACAGTTCCACAGGGCCTGAAAGACGGAGCTCTTCCACCAGGCTTTTAGTTAGAGTGGGAGGCATCCCCCCACGATTCTAGGCTGGCACTCAGAGGCAGGATGGAGGCCCACAAACCTGCCAGAGAATACTGGCACTTCAGCACTGTACCTATTTCCTGGTTAGGCAACGGGCAGAGGGGTGGGGGAGGAGATACCCCATTGATAGGTGCCAGGAGAGACCAGCAATCCAGTTGTTGGAAGTGGAGACTGCAAGAGCCAGGGACCAGACATTTCCCACTGGGCCTCTTGTTCCAGCTTCCACAAGCCTGGTCCTAGTGTTGCCAGCCACCCTCCTGGTGGTGGCTGGAGATCTTGAATTACAGTTTATCTCCAGACTACAGTTTCTCTGGAGAAGATGGCTTTTAGAGAGTGGACTTTACAGCATTATACCCTCCTGAGGTCCCTCTCCTCCCCAAACTCCATCCTCAAACTTCCAGGAATTTCCCAACTCAGTGTTGGCAACCCCAGCTCTTTTGATACCTGCTCTATACTTGGCTGTGAGAGTTGGACCATAAGGAAGGCCGAGCACCAAAGAACAGATGCTTTCAAATTATGGTGCTGGAGAAGACTCTTGAGAGTCCCCTGGACTGCAAGGAGATCAAATCAGTCAATCCTAAAGGAAATCAACCCTGACCGTTCCATGGAAGGTCAGATACTGAAGCTGAAGCTCAAATACTTTGGCCACCAAATGAGAAGGGAGGGCTCACTGGAGAAGACCCTGATACTGGGAAAGATTGAAGGTCAAAGAAGACGGGGACGGCAAAGGATGAGATGGTTAGGCAGTTTTATTGATGCAACGAACATGAAATTAAGCTAACTCCACAGGACGGTAGAAGACAAGAGGGCCTGGCGTGATGTGGTCAATGGGGTCGCGAAGAGTCGGACTCGACTGTGCGACTGAACAATAACTACTATACTTGTAGAACAGCCGAGGGAGGCAGGCTTCTACCCTTTTTCATGAGGCTAAAACAGAATTATGTCATATAGCTTTTGGAGCAGTTTAAATCTGGGCAAAATGGCTCCCTCCTCCCCAGTAAATAGGATGTACAAATATTGGTTATTTTAATATACTTATAATGTATTTGATATTTACTGTATTTTGTTACGTGTTTATTACTCAACTTAGGTCCTGATTTGCCAGGGGAAAAGGCATGTTTATAAACATAAATAAATAAATAACTGGAGGAAGAAGAAATTGGATTTATACCCCGCCCTTCACTACCCGAAGGAGTCTCAGAGTGTCTTACAATCTCCTTTCCCTTCTTCTCCCCACAACAGACACCCTGTGAGGCTGAGAAAGTTCTTTCGAGAACTGCTCATGAGAGAACAGCTCTGAAAGAACTTGAGACTGACCCAAGATCACACCAGCAGCTGCATGTGAAGGAGCGAGGAAAGATCTCCCAGATTAGAGTCCGCGCTCCTAACTACTATGCCAAATCAGTTTAAAAGCCACATTCTCTGATTTGGAATCTCTTCCTGTGAGGGAATTGGCTGTGGTTACTCACAGAGCAATCCTGAGAACACTTTCCTGGTAATAAGGCCCATTGAATATACTTGAGTAGAATTCTGAGTTGGCCCAGTTAGGACTGCACTGTCAGTGCTGAAGCAAAGGGACTCTGCACATGCCCGGGGTTGCTCTTTCTTTTGCTTTCACTTCACTTTTCCTGGAACTGTCCTGCCATTAGAAGACACAAACATTCCAGGGCTTTGTTCTGTCTGTGGTTCTAGGAACTTCTCTCCTGGGGAGGGCCAGGCTCACATGGGGAGTGGGGAATGAAGAGGTATAACTTTGGACTGCTTAGGAATGTGTTTAGAGCCTGGAGAGGGAGAGCTGGGGTGAGCGAGGTCTTTCTTTGGTTAAGTGCCAGCCCTGAACTTCCATCATTGCTGCTCATGGGTCAGTGCTCAGAGGCCTTCAGCTCTTCCTTGCCTTGCCCCAAAAGCACAGCAAGGGCATCTCCTCTTCCTGTGAGCCTGCCTAATGAGTTCTGCTAATGGCATTTGCTGGAAAGGAGGGGGAAGACAGAACTGTTGCCGAGCCACTCACAGCATCCCTGCGAGAGAAAGATGCTCCTCCCCAGCAACTGCTGGGCTAAGCAAAATAAGGCCCAACCAGCAAAGTCCAGGTTTACCTGCCCCACCACCCCCATCCCTCAACAAGACTCTGCATCCCTGGGTAAGCCTAACAGTTGCCAGCCTCCAGGTGGGGCCTGCAGTTCTCCTGGAATTATACCTCCAGACGACGGAGACCAGCTCCTCTAGATGAAGTGGTTGCCCTGGAGGGTGGATAGTGGCATAGACCTGTGGTGTGCCCTCCATGACACACTATGGGGCAATGGGGGTGGACAGCCCTGCCTCATACCAGGGGCTTGAACTAAAGAGACCTTTTGTACCTCGGGACCCTCTGGGTCAGTTATTTGTTTACTTCAAATATTCCTAGACTGTCTCTCAGCCAAAGTTACCACGGTGGTTCACAGCAAGGCAGATAGAACAAACGTGGAAAGCAAAAACTTATCAATTCCGTAAAAATCCAGTAGCAATCCATAAATTGTTCAGATACCAAAAGCAGCAACAAGTTGTAAAAGGCAACAAACATACCAGTCAGAACTAGTCAAATAGAAAATGGTCCGTTGTTGCCTTATGCCTGGAAAAATAATAATGCTTTTTGCCTGATACACAACTGCTTGGCGTGTGACAAAACAATTGTTAATCCAAGAGCTCTGCTCAAGTACCTGTGAGTGCTTAGTGAAAGAGACTTCCTCTTGTGCCATGTGTGTGAGACAGAGAGGAAGAAACAGCTGTCTTGGGTTTGGAAGAGACAGAAAGACAGACTTGTGAGTTGGCTGCAGTACCTTGATACTACGGAACCTCTCTCCAGGGATCTGATCTGCAGTTAGTGGACCTGCTAACCTGGAGGAGTGTTTCTCTGCCTCAACCCAAGCTCTACTTGTCTATTAACCAATAAAGCAATTATTACAGAAATGCCCTCTACTGGGGTCCATCCTCCAAAGGAAACCACCCCAAGTATCACTGCCTCTTAGTATAGATGCCAATGCCATACGTTCTTTTCTAGGTATACACGAGGGGCCCTAGGCTCAAATGTCTTTTCATGCAAAGGTGTGAACACGCAGCAGCAGTTTTTCCTCCAAGATTCATCACAACATTGTTTTCCATCTGTTGCCTACCTGCAGGTTCTTTGTCCTCCTTCCACCGTGCATTCTCAAATGGGACTGTGAAAGCACAGAGAAAAGATGGAGAAACTGCAGAAAGACAACAAATGGAGGACAACATGATGAAAGATCAAGATGGGTGGCCGTGTTAGTCTGTCTGTAGCTGTAGCGTTCCGTGCGCCTTGGTGTTAGTCATGCCGGCCACATGACCACGGAAACGTCTTCGGACAGTGCTGGCTCTTTGGCTTTGAAACGGAGATGAGCACCGCAACCCTAGAGTCGGATTCGACTGGCTTTCGAGCAAGGGAATCTTTACCTTTACCTAGCTGTAGGGGAGCTCAGAGATTAAGACGGCAGTTTGAGACCCGAGTGTCATGTGACGGAGTGAGCTCTCGTCTCCGGCCCCAGCTCCTGCCAACCTAGCAGTTTGAAAGCAAGAAGTTGCAAGTAGATAAATAGGTACCGCTTTGGTGGGAAGGTAACAGCGTTCCGTGCGCCTTGGTGTTTAGTCATGCCGGCCACACGACCACGGAAACATCTTCAGACAGCGCTGGCTCTTTGGCTTGGAAACGGAGATGAGCACCACAACCCTAGAGTCGGATTTGACTGGCTTTACCTTTACCTAACTGCAGAAAAGAGCAACTATAATTTCTTCTTTTTTGTATGTCAAAAAAGACTTATAATAAGGGGTTCACCTATGTACGTTGGTTTGTTCATCTTGTCATTTGGGATTGTTTGTCCCTACGTTTTTCATTTGGAAAATAATAAATACCGTATTAAAAAAAAAAGCAAGAATCCAGTAGCACCGTAAAGACTAACAAAATAT